TGTTTTTAATTTAGATTCTTCATCAAGTGGAATCTGGAAAAATGCTGATTTTAAATCAATGGATGATAGATATCTGGCATCTCTGATTTTAGAAATTACAGAGTCTATTAAAGGAGGAGGATACGCGTCAGGAATTGTTACTGAATTTAGTTTTCTACCATCAAAACAAACTCTATATGAACCGTCTTTCTTGGAAACCAGCCAGAGCGCTGAACACCAGGCACTGCTGCAAGGTTCTATAATACCCATGTCCAACATTTCATCAACTTGCTTAATAAGAGCTTTTTCCATTACATGAGAAAGCGGATATTGTCTTTGCCTGATGGGCTTTGCATCACCTGTGTCAATGTGATGTGTATATAAATGTGTACAACCAATACTATCAGTAGGTGCAATGCTATTAAAAAGTTCAACAATTTCAAATAATTGTTCCTTTTCCATATTAGATAGCTTCTCCATACCTTGAATACAATTTACAGCACAAGATTGATATGAAAAAGTATGAAAATCAAGGTTGAAATTGAATTTTAGGATGAAATCCATGCCTAAAAGTAATGTGTGTGTAATGGAAGGAACTATTATGAATTTAATAACATGAACTTTGCCATTAAAACCTACTGGCAGCAAAGCAAAACCTAAAGTATTCTGCATCTGGCCATCAGCAGTTGTTATTTGCAAGGTACTACTGTAATCGATGTTGAGATTTAATTTACGTAATAAGTATAAGCCAGATGAACCTAGAATGTTGGCATTGCTTCCAGTATCAAGCAAAGCTAAAATGTTTTCATCACTAATGGATATTGAAAGATGTGGACGATTGTCATTTGGTTTTTGAATAAATGGTTCTGAATGATCATTTGATGGCATACCTGCAAGTTGTGAATGATTAATGTCAAAATCGGGATTAATTGCTGAAGGTTGTCTTAACTTGGCTATTTGTTGGACTTCAGAATGAGACCTGGAGTTGCTTTGCCCTTTACGTCTATGACTCCTCGAGTCTGGGCGAAAGAAGTTCCGGGAGTCGGATTGGAAACTTCTTGCCTCACGTTTTTTGAACAGGAAGGACAATTAGAGCGTGTGACATTTTTCATACCACAGGTATAGCAATAAACAGCCTTAGGAGCTCTACAGTCTCGAACAGAATGTCCTAGTTTCTCGCAGTTCCAACATACAGGAGCTTTTCTGTGAGATGATGGAGTACTATCAGAAGTAACCAAGCTGGAAGTGGAAAGTCTGTTGTGGGGTTGACAAGTCAAGAAGGAATCCTCTAATTTCCTACAAAGTGATGTTAGTTCAGGAAAAGTGGAAATTTCATGAAGAGCAAGTGACTTTATGAAGTCAGGCAATAAATTTCTACGGACAATATTGACCATGTCCCTTTCTGTAAATGTATTGTAGGTTAATCTATTGAATTGAGATTCCATGAACGAAATGAATATCGTAACATGTTCATGCTGACCTTGTTTGCGTCTACGAATCTCATCAATTAGGTTCATATCATAATTGTCACGTAGGAAAGCATCCTTGAGTTGTTTAATCAAGTCCTGCCAATCATGAAAGCTATTTCTTAGATGGCCATTATGCCACCATGTCCAGGCTACATCTTCAAAGAGATCACCTGCAGATGCAAAGAGATCCATCTCATTGCAACCACGGGAAGACATTAGAGATTCGACAATTTCTAGAAATTCAATAACTGAGCTATTTCCAGAAAATTTTTTGATTCCCCATTTGAAAACTGGTATCTTTTTATGTGGAGCAAAATTTATATGAGAGAGTGGCTGTGTATGTACTGGAGGAAATACTTGAGGATTAGCAACAGTCACAGGCGGATTTGATGCTAATGGAATAGGACGAGATGAAACTGATGGAGGAGATGATTGAGCAGATGGCATCTCAAGCTTCTCTAAAAGATCCGATTCACACACAACAAGTTGTGTCTTTAATCTAGATTTTGTACTTATCTCCTCATCACAAGTAGGAGACATTCGATCTATCCTACCAGATAGATGCAATAAGCGCACACAAATTCTGCGATGTTCAACAGAATCAAATGCACCAGTAAATCTAGAGATCATCTCAGTGAGTTTATTGAATGAGAGTCTTATCTCAGTCTCATCCTCATCAAAAGGAATAGTCACAGAAGTTTCTGAGAAACTACGCCCTTGAAATTCCTGTGCTAATAAGCCACGTAAAACTTTACGTTTATCCTCCACGGTATTAGGGACTTCCAAACCTCTGATATGAATCTCGTAGTGGAGTTCATGACTTAATAAGTCATTTGGGCTTAGTTTAGACTGAACCATGATTGAGAAATAAACCTCAAAGAAACACTTGAAAGAAAAAATTAAAGTTAAAAACCTGAATACGTCAAGAAATGACAAGGATCTAAAACACTATAAAAAACTAACAATACAAACAAAAAGTTTCAATACAAAAACAGGAGCAGCCGAATCTTAAAAAAATTATTTTATATCTCACATACATTAAAAGAGTACAGAGACTTTCAAGTCCTGTTAATCCAATGGAAAATCAGACACTAATGTTCTAATTTCCCCCAAAGAATATGCCAGATAAAACTATAAAACATTAAAATTATGAAAACTTTTGCTCCAAACAAGAGACAAAATTACTACAATAGTTACTGAGGAACGTATACTATTTCAACAACAAGTTGAAGTTTAATTATCATAAATGAGTATGTGTGTCTTTGTATAGGTAAAAATGATTTAGGAGTCACCCCCTCATTGAAAAGTAGCAAAAATATAGTCAAGAAAAACATCATTTGTTTCTTGAAAAAAAAGAAAGGTAAGTATCAAAGTACTATGTCCAAGTGTCAATACTTGAAAAAAAGTAAACCGCCAAAATATACGAAAAATTATGAATATCAATTTCATATAATTCAGAAAAATGGATAAATCGCAAAATGATTTACTCCAGATAACTCTAGTCAGTAGATTATTGCCATCAGAATGAAAACAAATGATCAAAAGTTCAAGTACAGTCAAAAATTCAAAAAGTAAATACATTTGGGGAAGGCAAAAATAATTTTGAAAGTAAATTTCCTACGTACCAAACATCATGAGAGCTATATCAGTACACCAGAGATCCAACAATTAGGCTACATATGCGTACATGGAAAGTCTCAAGAAATCAAAAAACTGCACATGAAGAAATACTTTCAAAAACTAAGAGGTTAGTGATCAAAAATGAAAAGCATATAAGAATATGTAAACTATCAACAACAATAGTCACAACCTCAATCAAAAGTTTGATGATATTCGACAAAAATGCTGGGAAACCTAAAATCCCCAGACTATCAATATTCAACAACAAAAAAAAATATCAAAATATCATCAATCTCAAAAGTACAATGAGAAAAAAGTTATAACTGTCCCCAGCAGTAAATAAAAACTGTAGTAGTATGTGAGACAAAAAAATTCTGGCAATGATCTCGCTGACTACTAAACAAGACAATTTAAAAGTTAATAGTATGCCTATGAAATAAACAGGTGGAAAAATTTTAATCTTTTGATAAAAATTTTAAACATTAAGCAAAAAGTAAGGATGATTAAGGAATTAGAAATTTGAGTACCAAAAGCAATTAAAAATAGAAATGCTGCCAAAGATTGTAAAGAATTTTGAAAACTATGTTCTGTCTGCCAATCTTCCACTAGCAAACCACTTGTCGACAAAGCCAAACACCTATCGAAGCCTCACGTTGCGGGTGCCAATTTATGTAACCCTTCCTTTCCGCAAAAAGTCCAGAAAAGATGGAATGCAATGAAGATTCCAACTTTTCTGCACAATCACACAAAGGGGGTTACAATTAGCTTCCGGTAGCTCAGTCGGTGGCATGAAGACATCTACAGGCGTGTAGCTGTGTGTCGACCATGGCATGGCTAGAGGATAGAAGAACAAACAGAACACAAAAATTTAACAGATTTTATTTAATAAAAAAAAGGCATTTTCATTACATTACAATTTTACAAAAATAACAAAATAAGTTTTTAACGCTATCGACTTATCTTTCGCTGGTCCATTTTTACTCGACTGAAGCCAGGATGGCCAGGGGCTTGAAGGGGAGGTCCCAGTTATGAGGGGTGACCTCCATATAGTGGCTTCACAACCAGTTGTAGGCGAAGTTAAAGGCGATGGCGCTGCCAAGGTACATGCATGGGTGAAAATATTGGCCAAGGCTAGGCAAAGTGAAATGGAAAGAGAAAGGGGGTGGCCCCAATCTGAAAAAGAACCGTGTGCATTAGCAACGTGCCCTAATGGCCAAGGCATTTCCAATCTCAGTCTGCCTCAAAAGAGAACCAACGATTTTCTAGATTAGAATTACATTATATAGTTTGATAAAATCAAACCGAAAATTGGAAATGCCTTTCATAAAATAAAATCATGAAATAGCAAAAAAAGCGTAGAACAAGATGGTGGTCATCAAAAATTTCTCCACATGCTTCTGATATAAAAACATAATCATCGAATATTCATAATCAACGTACTTATAATTTCACTGAACTATGAATATATATACGCGCACAGAGGTAAAATCGATGTGGATCGATTTCCACCTCGATTCGATTAAAGTTATGGCGAATGATCGAAGTAGTCGAAAATGACGTTCGATGGATATTTTAAAATCGTACAAGAAATAAATCACTTACATATCGATTATCTATAAACTACAGGCTGATCCAGAAATAAAACTGTATAGTATTATAAAACTCACCATTTTTGTCCTATACGGACACACATTTTAGAAAATTCTAGCACATGGTGCTATATAACCTTGTGCTACTGAGAAGAAATTTCTAGCCGTTGTTCGATCGGCGGCTCAAGTGAAAAGGAAGCGCGAGGAAGATCGCAGATCAGGAACTCCGCATCAAGCGCTCCAAGCGGAAAATTTTCCAAGCAAAAAAGCTAGAGATGGGATTAATGAAATGATAATCGAGAAGTGATTTAATAAATACGATCGGACGGTGAAACCGTTACACTATCGCTACCAATATGAGTTACGATCAATCTTTGACGTTTCCCTGACGGTCCACGAAGACCTGTTAACAAACCTTCAATGCTTGCTTGTCGGTTACTCACTACGTTTTTGTCTATCCAGGTTTTTTTAACTGTGTGACCTGCATTTATCCATGTCTCGTCCAAATAATAGATTTTTCTGCTTTGTCGCCTATATTCAATCATTTCGCGTAGGTATTTTCGACGCCAGGCGACTATTTCAGGTCTCTCTATCAATACTGACTTCCGATTACGCAGAGACTGGAGGCGTCACACCTGTATGATCCAGTTAATTTCCCTGTCCTTATCGGCAATTATTGAGCCCGTATGAGATTAATAGAAATATGGATATGTGATCAAAACATGTTAATAAATATGGCTTACGAGATTGATCATCATCAATATGAAAAAATTAAGGTTGTAAACCCATGCAGTACAGAAGAACAAAGGAAATACTCACTTTTCATGTTACCAAAACACTAAACCCAAAAGCACAGCGACACTGAAATTAGCTTCACGACGCGCACTACTTGATCTGAGATGCCACCTTTATAACCCGCCTGCGTGTATATGAAAGTTTATCCTAGGAACAAGTGCACGGAGGAGGAATGGAATGCACATCATAAACAGGCTTTAAGGCCCTCGCGTTGAGTGACTCTAGGACTTGTGACTGGAAGGTCACATAGAAAAGTTAGAGTCTATTCGGTACTGTCTGTCAGAGCGGTCCATAGGACCTTTGCTCTTAGTTAAAGTCTTGTAAGTCAGTAGGTGTGTCTGATTGCCCAGGTACCAGACAAAGGAAGATAAAAGGAGGGAAGAAGAAAGAAAATAAGAAATAAGGAAGAGCAACGAAGAAAGAAGTGCGTCAATTTGAGAGCCTTGGCATTGCTAACTAGTATTCGGCAATTTTAAATTGATCGTAAAATTAATTTAGAGATTAGTCTTTGTAGAAAAAGTATAATTTTGGTTGGACCTAAAGTCGCACGATTTACTCGACTGTGTAGTCTACTGACTCGCGCAATAAAGGGTTGCTATGCGATTCCGCTTGACTATAACGTAGCTTCGCTTGTGGTTTGAGGTAGTCCCTCAGGCAAGAGATGTATCTGCGAAGGGTCTCATTGGAGAGACACTATGGGGCGTTAGTGATTGTACGCAAGGTTCTGCAAAACCTGCAAATGAGTCTTGGTGAAAATACACCAAGTCGCACTTGCGTAAGTGATCGCTGATCCAATGACCATCTTGTATAGCCTAAGCTTATTATAATGGTTATTCTTCAGCTAATTATACTGTTCCCTCTGGAGTACCGCAAGGTTCAAACCTAGGTCCCTTGCTGTTTTTATTCTTCATAAATAACCTAGCCGCTTCACTCAAGTGTGAATCTCTACTATTTACCGATGATCTGAAAATCTACACCAAAATCACAAATTTGGAGAGCTGTATTTCCCTTCAGGACGATCCGCATACCATCACACAGTGGTGCGACAATAATATGCTCTTCTTAAATATCTCCAAATGTTCATATTGTCGTAAAATGAACCCGATTATGTTTGATTACTCCATAAATAATGCGGTTTTGGAGAGAACAACAGAGACTAAAGATCCCGGTGTAATGTTTTCCTGTAGATTGGACCTTTCTGTCCATGTAGCACGCGTCACTCCCGAAGCGACACGGATTCTGGGTTTCATAATGCGTAACTGTAGATCTTTTTCCAACGAAGCGGCACTAAAAGCTCTTTTTATTTCGCTGGTGCGACCAAAACTTGAGTATGCTTCTTTGATATGGTACCCTTTCTATGCGTATTATACAAGGTGAATTTGAAGTTGAGTTATTAATTTTCAGATAATGATTGTAGAAGGAAGATAAACCAAAATATGTGTGTAAAAATAAAAAAAAAATTAAAAAAAAATGTTACCTTGTTTTATAAAGTATCCTCCCGACAAGTATTTCAGTGCGGACCTGTATTTGATCGTGCGGTCTTGGAACACCGGCATGCCCTCCCCTGTGAGGTCTTAAGTTACCTGATTCACGAGCCCTTTGTACCACATTAACAAAGGCACGAGGGGTTGTTGCACTCGATTGGGAAACCGATCCGCATAAATCCGTGATGCCTCGTAAATAAGAATCATGTTCACAAGTTCAGCATTTTCGTAAACATGTGCTATTTTTGATTTCGTTTGAGCCACGCAACAGACACCACTATTCACTCACGCGTTACCGACTGACACTGACTGTATACAACTGAATAAAATAATTGTAAAAACATCGTTCCAAATTCTTTCGCTTTTTTGTTTCCGATGCGATGAACCGATAAGGCGGATTATATCCGTTGTTGCCAAACACGAGCACATAATATTATTATTGAGACAGGGCGGTACTCAAACCTCCGAAGGGCTATAACTTTGTTACTTTAATTTTACCAGAAAAATGGTAAAGGAAAAAAACATTTCTTTTGATCAGATCTACTCACTGTTAAAATAAATGACTCAACTTCGAAGTCACCCTTCTTAGAAAATGTACAAAGAAAATTTCTTACATACTGTGTTTATAAAATCGATGGCACATATCCAGAAAGGGGGGTCTCTCGATTTGTTCTGCTGCGTCGTTTTGAACTAGAGACTCTACAGCTAAGACGTTCTACTGCTGGTCTGTCATTGCTTCATAAGCCTTTGCACGAAAGACTGGATGCACCAGGACTTCTCCAGAGGTTAAATTTCTGTATATCACGGTTAAATACGAGATGAATTCTAACTTTTATATATATATAACAATTATAATTCCATAGCAGACAGTTCTGACATTAATTTTGATTGTATCAGTAAGATCTTGTCGAATTTCAGGTACTATTATAATAGCTAAATCTGTTTTTTAAGTTAGTTTTATGTATTATAAGTAAAGATACGATTATATTGTCCTCTAATTGGAATAGTGCTGTTGGGCAATTATGTATAAAATAAATAAATAAATAAACTTTGTTGATCAAACTTAATTTTGAGGTTCTACATAGCATAGCCGAAACGTAATTTGGAAGTTAGTTTCCAACGCTTCTGTCAGGTCATCCCTTTGTCAAGAGGGACACCGAGATACTTGCAGAGCTTATCCGAGCTCCATTCACTGAAACCTCAGACGGAGCGCCGATACGTTTTTTAGTATTCGTCCATACGAATATCTCGTCCTCCGCACTTTGTAGCGTGTCGTGATCTAGATTCCTAGAACACAACTGGGCCACCAGGGCAGTGTCATCAGCATAGAGACAGATTTCACAATTGCTGGGGCAAGGGACGTCATGAATAGAACGTGAATAAAGGACTGGTCCCAGAACCGAACCCTGAGGGACACCTGCTTTGATGAGCCGCTTTGTCGACAAAACGTTATTAATTTTTTCCTGCGCTCAAGAAGAGGGAGGGAGGGCAATTTATAGCCGGACCAAAAAAGATGTAGCCTAAGTCTGTTTTACATGCATTACGAATAAACGATCTTTAATAACTCAAAGACGCCCATCATTCTGTAACAGCCGTGAATAAGTTCGATTATCCTGCAGGTATTTGCAGGCTATTAGACACGTCGCCCAATGTCATTAGTTTATTAATTTAAGGTCGGCCCATCATCATCATCGCTGAGCGACAACAGAGCAACAGAATTCGTTGGAATAATCGATAGTCACGCTTGACAGCGGCAGCGTCAGCGGCAAAGGCGGCAAACCTGACGTGGTCTTTCCAAACCGGCAGCCAATGTTCGTGTGGAGTTGCCTTCAAACAATTTTCATGTCCGGGAGTATCGGAAGTTGTAAAGTGTGTCGAGCCGGAACAGCGTCCGTTAGCCGCCGGAATCTCCTCTTCTGCCCCGAGCCAGAGCCGGTCAGAGTCCAGGACGAAAGTTGGCCGTCGTCTTAGCAGGTAAAATGCATCACTTATATTTTTTGTGTTACAAAACAGGGCTGTTGGAAAAATCGTTTAACGGGAAAGTTGCACTAGTTGCAAAGATTAATTTAAAGCTTTTAAAATTCTAACGTTGAAAAAAATCATTTAACGGAGAAGTCGCACTAGTTGCAAAGATTCATTTAAAACTTTTAAAATTCTGACGTTGATATCAGTGTATATTCTAAATGTTATGATAGTCATTATTTGAATGGGTGATATAGGGGGTTAAAAGAAGAAAAAAGTTTCATATAACATGGGAGTCAAAACGGATTTTTTTTTTTGAGAAAAGCGACTATAAAGTAAAATATAATCTGACAACGCCGCAATGCCAGACGCAAGTTACGACCGAGCGCAGTGTAAATAAAGATGGAGTTTTTTATTTTTGGCTCTTAGGTATTATTTCATTATTTGATAATGTACTCGTAAAATACAAACAGTTAAAAAAACGGACTTACCACTAACTGTCTCAGCGCTTCACCTGGTGTGTGAAAGTTTATTGAACGTATTAAAAAAATCTACTTATAAATAGGGAACACAATTTTGATACATACATTGTTTTTGGTTTTAAAACCCACACTGCACTTTTTTGTATTTAAAGAAGGTGTTCAAAATGCCGTCCTCTACTTTCCATACAAGGTTCATTACGGCGAACCCAGTTTCTTCTTATTCTAGGTCCTAGAAGTTGTCCAATTATTGTTTCAGCCGCATTAAAATTTTTTTCGCCAAGTTGTGCTTCAGTTGTTCTCAATTGTCCCCCAATACCAAAAATCCATCGGATTGAGTTCAGGAGATCTTGCTGGCCATTTTCGAGAATCAGGAGCATTTCGACCGATCCAGCTATTTGGATAATGCTCATTCAAATACTGAATGACGCCTCTAAAAATGTGTGGTGTGCCCCGTCATCAAGAAACCAGAAATTCTGTCTCCGTTGTAATGGCATGTTGTCTAAGTTCTGTTCCAAAAGTTCTGATAGGCTTTTGGCTAGAAAGCTAAGGGGTATTATTCTCCTGACAACTTTGGGGGTAACTCGAAAGGCCAATTACCTGATCGTCAAGAATACCCGCCTGAATATTTATTTTAAAACCTTGTTGGAAATGACCTTCACGAATGGTATGGGAATTTTCTTGAGCCCATGTGTGAGAATTATGGAAATGTAATATCCCGTCTCGCGTAAAAGTACTTTCGTCCGTCGCCAGAATGTTCTTAAAAAAATCCGGATTTTCAAAGGCTTATCAGATCCTGCACCTCGATTAGATCAATCGTGAACACAAACGATGCTCATCAGTACTTGATCCGTGCGCTAGCCGCGTTGATAAGCAAAAACTTTACACTTTGTTAAAAAAAAGCAGATGAAAAATGGGACACTCATACAGCGATATCGGAGTTGTACATATTATTTTAATTTACGGTGAGTGTCTTCGGAATGATTCCGAGGCTTCACGAGTGCATGCAGATCGTTCTTCAAGATTCTTTGTGAATTTTTGTTTTTGTTTGGGGCAAAATGAAATGTTTAGTGTAAAAAAAAACAAGGCGATCACGGTGAACTACGAGTTAAAAAAACGGACTTACCACTAACTGTCTCTGCGCTTCACCTGGTATGTGAAAGTTTATTGAACGTATTAAAAAAATCCACTTATAAATAGGGAACACAATTTTGATACATACATTGTTGTTCTTTTTAAAACCTACACTTCACTTTTTTTGTATTTAAAGAAGGTGTTCAAATTGTCGTCCTCCACATTCCACACAAGCTTCATTACGACGAACCCAGTTTCTTCTTACTCTAGGTCCCCGAAGTTGTCTATTTATTATTTCAGCCGCATTAAATTCGTTTTCGCGAAGTTGTGCTTCAATTGTTATTGGACCATCCCCATAAACTATCCCTTCTCTCCAATACCAGAAATTCATCGGATTGAGGTCAGGAGACCTTGCTGGCCATTTTCGAGAATTAGGAGCATTTCGACCGATCCAGCGATTTGGATAATGTTCATTCAAATACTGAATGACGCCTCTAAAAATGTGTGGTGTGCCCCGTCATCAAGAAACCAGAAATTCTGTCTCCGTTGTAATGGCATGTTGTCTAAGGTCCTCACATACATTCGCGATAGAGGAAGTAGACTTTTGGGGGTTTACTATGATCTCACCAATTATTTGGACTTGCTATTCTTCCGGGATGGTCGGATGGCCTGGGGGCTCTTTGTTGTTTACACTACCTGTAGCTATAAATTTAGATACAAGTTCCCTTAAATATTTTCTACAGATAGGACGATACGGGAAACGATCATTAAATATCCTTTCGGTCTCGTGGAAGTTACGCGTCGCACCATAAATAAAAATCGCTTTGATTTTTTCTTCCAATGGACGAGAATTGACCATTCTAAAAATATACTAAGTGACATATAAATCCGAACACCCAGTTTAAATGGTTTTATTTTAATAAAAGTTGGTGAATGTATTTATCTTACTGTAAATAACAAGTGAAAAAATTTTCAGCCTTATCAGTTGGACATTCCGGTTTTTATACTGCTTTTTTTAATTCACTAACGCTCTAAAAATGAATATTAGAGCCGCAGTAAAGAATCAACGTTGGCGGATTTTGGTTCTTGACATCCTTTACGATCGGTTACGATGCCTTGAGTACGGAGACCTGTACGATTTCGTCAACTTAGTGAGT